CCCATAGGGAGCTCCATCTAAGGCCCAAGCGGCTGCGTCCGCATGCCGCCGCCACCCCATATTCGGCGCACCCCTTACACGTTTCGTGGCCCCATGGGGAGCCCCACCGAAGGCCCAAATGGCTGCGTCAGCATGCCGCCGCCGCCCAATTTTGGCACACCCCTCATACGTTTCGTGGTCCCATATGGGAGCTCCATCTAAGGCCCAAATGGCTGCGTCCGCATGGGGCCCACCCCCCCCCCCGGGGGGGGGGGGTGCCCCACAACCGCGACCCCATTGGCACACCCCTCCACGCCCCCCCCCCCCCCCCCCCCTTTCGTGGCCCCACAGGAAGCTCCATCTAAGGCCCAAATGGCTGCGTCCGCATGCCGCCGCCCGCCCAATTTTGGCACACCCCTCACACGTTTCGTGGCCCCATGGGGAGCTCCACCGAAGGCCCAAATGGCTGCGTCCGCATGCCGCCGCCGCCCAATTTTGGCACACCCCTCACACGTTTCGTGGCCCCATAGGGAGCTCCATCTAAGGCCCAAGTGGCTGCGTCCGCATGCCGCCGCCACCCCATTTTTGGCACACCCCTTACACGTTTCGTGGCCCCATGGGGAGCTCCACCGAAGGCCCAAATGGCTGCGGCCCAGGCGTGATCCCGGGCTGCGGCCGCCACGAGGTCGGGAACGGCAAGAAGGAGGACGACGACTGGTGGCTGGAGCTCTACGTGCTGCTCTCGCGCGCCACGCGCCACGAGGATCTCCTGCTCATGCGGGCGCCGCTCATCGAGTTCTTCCTGGCAGGGCCGCCGGAGGGCTTGCGGAAGCAGCTGGAGCAGTTTGCAGCGCACGCGAAGCGGTGCAGGAGGGAGGCGACGGCCCTCGCCAGAGAGCTGGGCTTCAGCGAGTTCATCCGCGAGGCCTGACCTGGGGAGCGGCCCCGCACGAGCCAGCGGCGCGCGCTGGTTGTCGCTGACGCTTGGATGACCCCAGCTCGTCGTCGGGATTTCTCGCCAGAGGATGGCCGGCGCCTGTCGGGGGATTTCACCCAGATCGCGCCATTTTCGCACGCCTCGCCACGCAGTACGGGGGCGCTATCCGTTGACTCAGAGTCGCAGTGGACAACCCCCGCGCGTCGATGGGATTCCCTCGGGATGACCAGACCGCGTCGGCGAGGACTTCCCAGGCACTTTCGCGCGGCGCCGCCTGCGCGCTGCATTCTGCGTGGCTCGCTGTCGGTCCGGAGGCAAAAACGTATCCCCTCGTCTCTCGTTCCTCTTGTTTCCCATCGCTTCTTGACCGCGCGCTTCCCCGTCTCGTTTCTGCCGCTGCTGACCTGCCTTCGACATCTACACGGTGTCTCCGTCACCTCTTCCTGCGTGCCCAGTAACAGGTCTCATGATGCGATGATGATACTGATGTGTTGGCTCGCCCCAGTGAGCTCTCCTCCTCCGCCCGCGGCGTGGTGCCTCTGAGAAGAGGGGCCCAGTTTGCGTGCCCCCTCCTTCGTCTCATATCCGCGCGGTACTCGCAGCTGCGTGTGGTTGGGCCCTTCGCCAGGGTATTTTTTAAACAGGGGTGGTGGGGGGAGGGCGCACCCGTCGGGTTTTCCGCGCATGTTCCGAATTTGGAGGCATAGTGTGATCTGTAGTTTTTTTTTTTTTTTTTTTTTATGTTTTTTTTTTTTTTTTTTTTTTTTATTTTTTTTTTTTTTTTTTTTTTTTTTTTTTTTTTTTTTTTTTTTTTTTTTTTTTTTTTTTTTTTTTTTTTTTTTTTTTTTTTTTTTTTTTTTTTTTTTTTTTTTTTTTTTTTTTTTTTTTTTTTTTTTTTTTTTTTTTTTTCTTTTTTTTTTTTTTTTTTTTTTTTTTTTTTTTTTTTGGTTTGTACATCTTTTTTTAACAAGGGAGGGGGGGGTGGCATGGACCCTGGTTGGCCCCCAGTCGCCTGGGGGAAGGGGGTGTTTACTAATAGAGAACAGTGATCAAAACGCCCCCCCCGCCCGCAAGCCGCCCCGCTCACTCCCGCACGCCCTCCCAACACATACGTAGCACCCGAGCCTGACCCGAGCCGCAGCGTATTCAGCGGTCGTATTTGGATGGGCAGCTATTGGGGGCGAGTTCGCCGCCGCCGCCGCCTCCGCCGCCGCCGCCGCCTGCCGCCGCCGCCGCGCTGCCGCTTCCGACGCCGCAGCCGTCGCCCCCGCTGCCGAATTGCCGCCTCCGTAGCCGCTGCCACCGCAGCCGCTGCCGCCACCGCTGCCACCGCTGCCGCCGCCGCCGCCGCCGCCGCCCCCGCTGCCGCCGCCGCCGCCGCCGCCGCCGCCGCGCTGCCGCCGCAACCGCTGCCGCAGCCGCCGCAGCCGCAGCCGCCGCCGCCGCCAAGTGTATTCTGTATTGTTCCCAACCAACCTGTGTTGTTGGGTCATCGTTTTGAAGAGAAGGTCCCCGCGTTCCTTCCTCCTTCCTCCTTCCTCCTTCCTCCTCCTTTCCTTCCTCTTCCCTCCTTCCCCTCCCTTCTGGCACACCCTCACACGTTTCGTGGCCCCATAGGGAGCTCCACCGAAGGCCCCAGTGGCTGCGCCCGCATGCATAGGGAGCTCCACCGAAGGCCCCAGTGGCTGCGCCCGCATGCGGTTCCACCCCCATTCTGGCACACCCCTCACACGTTTCGTGGCCCCATAGGGAGCTCCACCCGAAGGCCCCAGTGGCTGGCCCGCATGCGGTTCCACCCCCCATTCTGGCACACCCCTCACACGTTTCGTGGCCCCATAGGGAGCTCCACCGAAGGCCCCAGTGGCTGCGCCCGCATGCGGTTCCACCCCCCATTCTGGCACACCCCTCACACGTTTCGTGGCCCCATAGGGAGCTCCACCGAAGGCCCCAGTGGCTGCGCCCGCATGCGGTTCCACCCCCATTTTGGCACACCCTTCACACGTTTCGTGGCCCCATAGGGAGCTCCACCGAAGGCCCCAGTGGCTGCGCCCGCATGCGGTTCCACCCCCCATTCTGGCACACCCCTCACACGTTTCGTGGCCCCATAGGGAGCTCCACCGAAGGCCCCAGTGGCTGCGCCCGCATGCGGTTCCACCCCCCATTCTGGCACACCCCTCACACGTTTCGTGGCCCCATAGGGAGCTCCACCGAAGGCCCCAGTGGCTGCGCCCGCATGCGGTTCCACCCCCCATTCTGGCACACCCCTCACACGTTTCGTGGCCCCATAGGGAGCTCCACCGAAGGCCCCAGTGGCTGCGCCCGCATGCGGTTCCACCTACCATTCTGGCACACCCCTCACACGTTTCGTGGCCCCATAGGGAGCTCCACCGAAGGCCCCAGTGGCTGCGCCCGCATGCGGTTCCACCCCCCATTCTGGCACACCCCTCACACGTTTCGTGGCCCCATAGGGAGCTCCACCGAAGGCCCCAGTGGCTGCGCCCGCATGCGGTTCCACCCCCCATTCTGGCACACCCCTCACACGTTTCGTGGCCCCATAGGGAGCTCCACCGAAGGCCCCAGTGGCTGCGCCCGCATGCGGTTCCACCCCCCATTCTGGCACACCCCTCACACGTTTCGTGGCCCCATAGGGAGCTCCACCGAAGGCCCCAGTGGCTGCGCCCGCATGCGGTTCCACCCCCCATTCTGGCACACCCCTCACACGTTTCGTGGCCCCATAGGGAGCTCCACCGAAGGCCCCAGTGGCTGCGCCCGCATGCGGTTCCACCCCCCATTCTGGCACACCCCTCACACGTTTCGTGGCCCCATAGGGAGCTCCACCGAAGGCCCCAGTGGCTGCGCCCGCATGCGGTTCCACCCCCCATTCTGGCACACCCCTCACACGTTTCGTGGCCCCATAGGGAGCTCCACCGAAGGCCCCAGTGGCTGCGCCCGCATGCGGTTCCACCCCCCATTCTGGCACACCCCTCACACGTTCGTGGCCCCATAGGGAGCTCCACCGAAGGCCCCAGTGGCTGCGCCCGCATGCGGTTCCACCCCCCATTCTGGCACACCCCTCACACGTTTCGTGGCCCCATAGGGAGCTCCACCGAAGGCCCCAGTGGCTGCGCCCGCATGCGGTTCCACCCCCCATTCTGGCACACCCCTCACACGTTTCGTGGCCCCATAGGGAGCTCCACCGAAGGCCCCAGTGGCTGCGCCGCATGCGGTTCCACCCCCCATTCTGGCACACCCCTCACACGTTTCGTGGCCCCATAGGGAGCTCCACCGAAGGCCCCAGTGGCTGCGCCGCATGCGGTTCCACCCCCCATTCGGCACACCCCTCACACGTTTCGTGGCCCGGGGGCGCCACCGAAGACTATTTCCACAATTGCGGTATTCACAACTACGTATGGTTGGGTCTTTCGTCAGGCTAATTTTTTTAACAGGGGTGGTGGGGGGAGGGCGCAGCGAGTTTTCCGCGCATGTTCCGAATTTTGAGGCAAAGTGTTTTGTAGTGTTTTTTACAAGGGATGGTGGGCGGGGCCCTCATTGTTCCTGGTTGGCTCCCAGTCGCGTGGGGGAGGGGGTGTGTAGTTAGGGAACAGTGATAAACCCCTTCCCGAAGGAGAAGAGGGAGGGGTGGACGAGGAAACGCCTTAGACCACCTACGCCCAGAGGGCTGGTGGGATTCGATTCTTTGCGGGGCACGATCCGCCTGAGTGGCGTGCCATTCTGCGAACCTTTTCTCTGGGGGCGTAGATGCAGCTCCGCGCGATCCCTGTGATTGGTGTGCCGACATGGGCGGGGAGACGCTGAGCCAAACCTGTGTCAGGAACCGCAGGTGAAGCTCCCTGAGGGGCACGATCCGTGTGACAATGTATGTCCTTCGATGCCGAACACTTGAGACTACAACTAGAGCGTGCTAGAACCCAAGCGTGCGCGAAGCGTACGCGTGTTATTTGAGTACCTGCACGTATATGTAATGTATATGTACACACATGTGGGTGTGCATGGGGATCAGCAAGGACGTTTGGATTTCGCCGGGGGGCTCGCATGCGCACTTCTACTGTCGAATGCCCTGTAGGTACATTCCCATGCTGATTGCCACTGAGCCGAACAGTGTTCTCCCAGTCGTTGCCGTGGAGCGGCAGGCGCTGGACGTCGACGACGTGCTGCAGCTCTTGCAGGGACACGGCGGCCTGACTGTCGGATACCTCGAGCACGTCGTCCTGGGCAAGCCAGGCGCCGAGCCGCGACATCAGGCACAGCTCGCGCAGGGCTACATCGCTCAGGTGGCTGAGGATCCGAGGGCGGTGAGCTGGGGGCGGTGGTCCTGTGCGGAAGGTGCCACGGGGGTGGCGGCGTGGGGTTCCTGGGGTGCTGGGTTCGCCCGAAGGCAGGCGCCGCCAGGTGTTCGTTCGGGGAGGCGGCAGGCCGGGCCCGGGAGTGGCCGAAAGAGCACAGGCGCACGCTGGAGGGCGGGCGCTGCTCGATCCCGAGGCATTCTGGCCTCCCTGTCCAGTCGGCATACGGTCGGGCCGAGGTATATGATCGAGGTCGGTTCGGGGAGGGTACCCTCACGTTCTTCGTGTTTGTTGGAGGTTCTCGTGCATCCTGGGGGAGGGTGCCCTCGAATGCTCGTCATTTTGGCCGTCGGAAGCTCTCATCTTCTTGAAACATGTTCTTCCGTCCTAGGTCCGACCGTGCGGCAGAAGACTCTCTGGTACGACGCCCACCCCCAGAGCAGGACGGGCCTCCAGGCCCGAATCTGTAGGAGTCGCTCCCAGTTCGGTGCAGAGCAGAGGCGATCCCAAACAACAAGTTCCCATCTTTTTCCTGCATTGCCGACAGGGTCATGCCCAATGCTTACGATGTTCCAACCTACTTGAGCCTTGACCGCCAGAAAGAATTTCGAGTACCAAGTACCGAGACCGGAGGGTTTTCACGTGTCGGGCACTGGGAGGCGATACTCTGTCGACACTGTTGCGACTCTTTTCCGGGTGTTCGAAATCATTTCTGTGATGTGTTCCGTAAGTATGATAGGAGCAACATAACCCAAAGCCTGCTCTCGCCCGAATTCCTGAACGCCCGGCTTCGGGAGACCCCCCCGCCGAAGCGAAGGGCCGTCAGCCCTGCGCTGGCGGGCGCCGCCGCCCTGAGGAGCAGCAAGGCTCCGAGAGCGACCCCGGGCGCGGCGTGGTCACCGTGCTGCGGCGCGCGCTGCTGCGGTTCCTGGAGGGCGCCGGCGCGCTGGACGCGCGGGCGCTGCTGCCTCAGGTCGAGCAGCTGGGCCTCCACGAGGAGCGGGTGGCGCGCTCAAGCCGCATCTCGCCACGTTCTGAGGCAGGTCAGAGAGATAGTAGCCGGGTCCCAGCATTCTCGCATGCGTGTCTTATCCCCGCTGTGGCGCTTGCGTTGGGTCTCCTCTGCGGGGGCACCCTCCATCGTGCCGGGAGCCCCGCTCGGCACGATGGGCGTGCGGCGGAGCGGCGAGGTGAGATTGGTGTGGTGGTTGTGCCTGCGGGTCGAGGGGGAGAGCGGGGCAGAAGCAGAGGCGAGCCGGGAGGGGAGGGGCAGGGCCGTAGAGGGGGAGAGAGTGGAGAGAGGGAGGGATGGGAGCTGGGGGCCCGCGGAGAGCTGGGAGGCAGGGCTGGAGGAAGGGCGGAGCAGGGGAAGGGGCGGAATGGGGGAGGAGGAGGAGGAGGAGCGAGGAGGAGGAGGAGGAGGGAGAGGAGGAGGAGGAGGAGGAGGAGGAGGAGGAGAGAGGAGGAGGGGAGGAGGAGGAAGAGCGAGGAGCGAGGAGGAGCGAGGAGGAGGAGGAGAGGAGGAGGAGGAGGAGGAGGAAGGGAGAAAGGGAGGAAGGGAGGGAGGGAGGGAGGGAGGGAGGGAGGGGGGGAGGACGACGAGCGAGAGAACGCCCAGCGTGTCGAGATAGGGCACGCAGTCGGTGACGGTTGGACCTCGGCGGGTGCTTCGTGAAGCGCCTTGCTGGGAGGCGGCGCCCACACTGGTGCCTTCCGAGTTCTCGGGCCTTCGGGTCTCCCCGGGCGCTCTGCCTGCCAAACATCTATGATGCCCGTCTAGCTCTTTTCTCTGAGGTCCTCAGATGAAGTGTTTGGACCTCGTCCCCCGGAGTTCACTCTGCGCACGTTGCCCACAGCGTTGGTCGAACGAGACGCCAACTGATCCTTATCATGTGGTCGGCACTGGTTCATGCGGTTGGGGATCCAACTCTAGTACATAATGTTGAAGTGCTTGATTTATGATGTTTGCGGGTTTTGCGAGTGCTGCTTGGTAGTGGAGGATCTTGCGACCCGTCGGTTTCCACAGCATGATTCTTGGGCTTACGCCACACTGCCGAACCCTTGGGGAACTGGTGGTTGTTGCGTGTTGCTCCTGAGGGCATCTTGCGCGCCGTTTGGGAGCTTCTTGGAGCTCTTTTGGGGCTTCATGGGGGCCTCTTTGGGGCCTTTTCGGGGCCTCTTGGGCTGGCATTCTCAGTATTCGCCGTGCACGCATGGGGAAACGGGCGAGAAGCCACATATACAGACTGCGGGCATCTGTCAAAACACCCGAAGAATGATCGAAGACGCCTACGGCGAATCACCGCCGCCTCCTGCCCCTTTGGAAGCGCCTCTGTGGCCGACAGCTGGGCCAGAGCTTGGCCAAGCTATCGGGCCAGTTGTTCCCCGAGTCGGTTTGGAAAGACTTCGGGGAACGCATGGGGGAGCAAGAAGAGGAGGAGGGTGAGGATGAGGAACAAAGAATGAGGAGGAGGAGGAGGAGGAGGAGGAGGAGGAGGAGGAGGAGGAGGAGGAGGAGGTGGCCTCTTGGGCGCCTCTTGGGTCACTCTTGGAGCCTCCTGGGAGCTTCCTGACGGCCCCTTGGAGGGTTTTGGGGGGCCTTTGGGGGCGTCTTGGGGCGGGCGTTCCTGGCTTGTCTGACGCTGTCGGAAGCCGTCTTGGGGGCCTGTCTGGGTCGTCTTGGGGCCCTCTTGGGGCATATCAGGGGTTCTTAGAGGCCATCTTGGGCGTCTTGGAGGCCTCTTGGGCCGTCTTGGGGCCCTCTTGGGGCCGTCTTCGGGGCCTCTTGGGCCGTCATGGGGCCATCTTGGAGACCTCGTGGGCGATCTTGGGGGCCTCTTGCGCCGTCTTGAGCCGTCGGAATGCCGAGAAGAGGCAAACTCCAAAATCTTTCAAACACCTACGGAACATTAATGATTTTGGCCTCTTCGGGCCCTCCTGGAAGACCTCCTGGACGCCTTCTGGGCCGTCTTGGAGGCCTCTTGGGGGCCTATTGGGCCGTCTGAGGCCATCTGGACGCCATCTGAGGCCGTCTTGGATGCATCTTGGGCCGTCTTGGAGGCATCTTGGGGCCACTTAGCCGTCTTCGATGCCATTTTGGCTGTCTTGGAGGCCCCTTGGGCCCTCTTGGGGCCGTTTTGGCGGCCTCTTGGGCCGTCATGGGGCGATCTTGGAGGCCTCGTGGGCGACATTGGGGGCCTCTTGGGCCGTCTTGAGCCGTCGAATGGCCTCAAGACGGTCCAAGACGGCCCAAGAGGCCCCCAAGAGCCCCCCAAGACAGCCCAAGAGGCTTCCAAGAGGTCTTCAGAAGGGGCCGAAGAGGCTAAAATCTGTGGTTTTCCTGAGGTTCTGAAGGATTTTGGCACTTGCTTCTTTTCGGCCTTCCGACGGCTCAAGACGGCCCAAGAGGCCCCCACGATCGCCCCAAGATCGCCCACGAGGTCTCCAAGATGGTCCCATGACGGCCCAAGAGGCCCCCAAGGCGGCCCCAAGAGGGCCCCAAGACGACCCAAGAGGCTCCAATAGGCCCAAGATGGCATCCAGGACGGCGAAGATGGTCCCAAGATGCCTCCAACACGGCCCAAGATGCACCCAAGACGGCCTGAGATGGCCTTCAGATGGCCTATGACGGCCCAAGAGGCCCCCAAGAGGCGCCAACATCATTGATTTTCCTTAGGTTTTTGACATATTTTGGCGTTTGCTTCTTTTCGGCATTCCGACGGCTCAAGGCGGCCCAAGGGGCCCCCAATGTCGCCCACGAGGCCTCCAAGATCGCCCCATGACGGCCCACGAGGCCCCCAAGACGGCCCCGCGAGAGCCCAAGGGGCCTCCAAGCCAGCCAAAATGGCTTCGAAGACGGCTAAGTGGCCCCAAGATGCCTCCAAGACGGCCCAAGATGCACTCAAGACGGCCTAAGATGGCCTCAAGATGGCCCAACGCGGCCCAAGAGGCCCCCAAGAGGCCTCCAAGGCCCCCAAAAGGCGTCCAGGAGGTCTTCCAGGAGGGCACCAAGACGCACATTCATTTTTTGGTGTGATTTTTATGGATTTTATAATATATATACACACATACATTTATATATTCTGGTATTTGCTTCTTCTCGGCATTCCGACGGCTCAAGACGGCGCAAGATGCCCCCTAGATCGCCCAAGAGGCCTTCAAGATGGCCCCTATGACGGCCCGAGGGGCTCCCAAGACGGCCCCAAGAGGGTCCTAAAACGGCTCAAGAGGCCTCCAAGACGCCCAAGATGGCCTCTAAGAACCGCTGATATGCCCCAAGACGACCCAGACAGGCCCCCAAGACGGCTTCCGACGGCGTCAGACAAGCCAGGAACGCCCTAAGACGGCCAAAGAGGCCCCCAAGAAGCCCCCAAAGGCCCCCCCAAACCCTCCAAGAGGCCCCCAGGAAGCTCCCAGGAGGCCCCAAGAGTGCCCCAAGAGGCGCTCAAGAGGCCTCCTCCTCCTCCTCCTCCTCCTCCTCCTCTTCCTCCCCCTACTCCTCTTCTTGCTCCCCCATGCGTTCCCCGAAGTCTTTCCAAACCGACTCGGGGAACAACTGCTCCGATATCTTGGCCAAGCTCTGGCCCAGCTGTCGGCCACAGAGGCGCTTCCAAAGGGGCAGGGGGCGGCGGTGATTCGCCGTAGGCGTCCTCGATTCTTTCGGAAAAAAACTAAAACCCAAACCGAGATCATCTAGCACGCCAGGCACCCCTGTGATGAATCAACAGGGGGCGGCGGATTTCCGATTGGCCTTCGGCAAATCCCGCCACCATGCCTGGGTTGCGGGTCTGAGGCCACTCGGAGGACTGATGGGGTCTCGTGGGAGGCGTCTCGTGGGCGTCTTGGAGGCAGTTTTTGAACCTCTTGGGGGCCTCCTGGGGACCTCATGGGGGCTTTTTGCAGCCATCTTGGGCCTCCCTGGGGGCTTGTTGGGGGGTGGAAGACTCGAAATGTCCGTTCGGGTTCCCCCTTGGGGGCCTCTTTGCCCGTCTTGGGGCAATCTCGAAGGCCTCTTGGGCCGTCTGGGACGTTGTGAACGCCCAAGAGGCGAATCTGCTAAAAATGTATGTTTTCCAAAGGGAATGGGACGTTTTTTGCTACTGGAGGCCCTCTTGGGACGCCTCTTGGGGGCTTCTTGGGGCGTCTTCGGGGCCTCTTGGACCGTCTGGAGGCCAGCGTGGGCGTTTTGGATCGATCTTTCAGCGTCTCGTAGCCCTCGTGGACCGCCCCAAGGGCCTCTTGGGGCCCTCTTGGCCCGTTTTGGGGCCCCCTGTCCCCCATGGCGCGTTCGGGCGGTCCCCGGGGGACCCCCCCCCACTCCAAATCGACCGGACCGGGGTCCTGGGGGAGGGGTTTGGGGAGGGGGGAGCATCTCACACGCCGATGAACCCCAAGGGCTCGGCGGATATCTGAGTGACTGCGGGCTGTTCCACCACAGTGCAAGCGGAGCGCTCTCTGTGGCGACCCGTCAAAAACCGCCCTCACGAGCGAAACATCTGGCAGTTGTTGTCCTTAGACTCTGGAGGGCCATGCCATGTGACGCGCCCTTTCGCGTGCTCGGGATGGCAGCAACAGGCGGCTACCATCGCTCCTAGGTGCCAGAGGGCCATAACATTCCCAAAACAGTGCTAGCCCTAAGGGATCCTCATTCGGCTTCTACGCAACTGGCTGCGTTTTCGGGATTTTCTGCCGGTGCCCTCCGGTTGCCGCTTCGTTGCGCCCCATTGGCGCCCCAGTGGCGATCCAGTACCACCCTGGTCTTGGGGCCCTTCGGGAATAGCATTATTCAAAATGGGGGACTAAGGGACCTGACGATACTTCAATCAGCACCTACGGCACGGTGGTCGGATACCCAATCAAACTAGTTATCGGACGGACTAGTTATCGAATAGTCGAAGTATGTACTTCTCTCCAACTGCCTAAGTAGTTTTTCGAATAGTTGCACTATATACACTTCATCAGCTGTTTGACCATACATTCAATTGTCCCTCTGTTGTGGGCATCGTCACATATGTAGACGCATTGGTAACACACATGCAAGTATGAATGAGTAGACACATGCATACTTACATGTGTATGTATGCATGCATGCTTGTATGTATACGTATTTATGTATAATGTAATGCGATACATATAATGTGTGCATATATATATAAAATCCGATGTAATTTGATGATATCTAAGGTGGTATACTGTAATTGTAACGTCATGCAATGCGATGTAATGCAGTGCGGTGTTTATATGTCTGTCTGTATGTATGTCTGTTTGTCTGCATATCTGTTTATCTGTCTGTATGTGTGCCTGTGTGTCTGTATTTCTGTATGTCTGGATGTCTAAATGTCTGTCTCTCTGTCTTTCTGTCTGTCTGTCTGTCTGTCTGTCTGTCTGTCTGTCTGTCTGTCTTTCTGTCCATCTGTCTGTCTGTGAGTGTGTGTGTGTGTACGTGTGTGTGTGTGTGTGCAGTATACGTGTATGTGCATGTGTATGTGCATGTGTATGTGTACGGCTATGTGGATGTGCATGTGCATTTGTATGTGCATGTGCACGTGTACGTGTATGTGTTTGTGCATGTGCGCGTGTGTGTGTATGTGCATTTGCATGTGCATATGCGTGTCCAGGTGTACGCGTATGTGTATGTGTATGTGTATGTGTACGTGTATGTGTACGTGTACGTGCATGTGTATGTGTATGTGTATGTGTATGTGTATGTGTAGATGTATGCGTATGCGTATGTGTATGTGTATGTGTTTGTGTATGTGTATGTGCATGTGCGTGTCCAGGTGTACGTGTATGTGTATGTATATGTGTATGTGTACGTGTATGTGTATGTGTAGGTGTATGTGTATGCGTATGTGTATGCGTATGTGTATGTGTATATGTATGTGTATGTGTATGTGCATGTGTATTTATATGTGTATGTATATGTGCATGAATATGTGTATGCATGCAAGCATGTATGTATGCATGGATGTATGCATGCATGTATGTATGCAAGCATGTATGCATGCATGTAAGTATGTTTGCATTCGTTCACGTATGTATGAATGCATGTAGGTACCTATGCATAGCTATATCCACGTATAGGTGTATGCATGATCCAGATGTGCCCCCCCCGGCTGGATAGGTACGCCCGTGAGCCTTGCGAAGGCCTCGCGAATGGGATCGGTTCCCCACACCTCCCCGTGGTCGTGGCCTTTGGGGGTGGCGTGATTGAGGGTGCTGGCGCTCCCCCCGCACCCCCTGTGGGTTTGGGGTGGTTCGTCGTCGTCGTCGTCGTCCTCGTCATCGTCGTCGTCGTCGTCGTCGTCGTCATCGTTGGCGGCGTTGACATCGGAGTGGGCGTCGCCGTCGTCGTCGGCGTCGGTGTCGGCATCGACGGCAGCGTCGTCGGCGGCGGCGGCGGCGTCGCCGTCGTCATCGTCGTCATCGCCGTCGTCGTCGTCGTCGTCGTCGTCGCCGTCGTCGTCGTCGTCGTCGGCGTCGTCGGCGTCTGCGTCGGCGTCGGCCTCGGCGTCGGCGTCGGCGTCGGCGTCGGCGTCGGTGTCGGCGTCGATGTCGGCGTCGGCGTCGGCGTCCCCCATCAAATTTGGGGGGGCAGTGCTTGTGGAACCCTGGGATCCATCCCATCTGGGGGGGTTTGGGGGGCCTGTGAACACTCGACCCCGGTGTCTGCATAATACACAGGTGTATGTATGTATGTATGTAATGTAATGTAATGTAATGTAATGTAATGTAATGTAATGTAATGTAATGTAATGTAATGTAATGTAATGTAATGTAATGTACTGTAACGCAATGTATTGTATTGTATTGTATTGTATTGCAGTGTAGTGTAGTGTAGTGTAGTGTAGTGTAATGTAATGTCAAGTAATGTAATGTAATGTAATGTAATGCAATGTAATGTAATGTAATGTATGTATGTATTTATGTATGTATGTTTATGTATGCATGTATACATAGGTATATGTATAGGTGTGTGCATGCATGTATATATACGTGTGTATGTATGTATGTATGCATGCATGTATGTATGTGTGTATGTATGTATGTAAGTCTGTATGTATGTATGCATGCATGCATGCATGTATGTATGTATGTATGTATATATGTATGTATGAATGTATTTATGTATATATGTATGTATGTATGCACGCATGTATGTATGCATGTATGTATGCATTTATGTATATATGTATGTATGTATGTATGTATGTATGTATGTATGTATGTATGTATGTATGTATGTTTGTATGTATGTATGTATGCATGTATGTATGTATGCATGCCGTACGTACGCATGTCTGTATGCATGCATGTATGTATGTATGTATGTATGTATGCATGTATGTATGTATGTATGTATGTATGTATGTATGTATGTACGTATGCATGCATGCATGCATGCATGCATGCATGCATGCATACATGTAGGTGCATATGCATATACATCTACATGTGTATCTATATATAAATGCATATCTATAGATGTCATATTTGCACAGTGGTATTCGACCCATCCCGCCACCGTGCCCGGGTGTTAGATCAGAGGCCTCTTGGATGCTTGTGGGGATCTCCTGGGAGGATTATCGAAAGTCTCTTGGAAGCAGTTTTTCAGGTGTACTGGTGCCTCTCTGGTGCCTCTTGGGCCCGGATTTGGGCATCTTGGGTGCCTCCTGGGGTTTCCGGGGGGCCTTGGGGACCTGCTGGCGGTCCTGGGGTTATTTCGGGACGGAGGCATCGAAATGTCAGTTCGACTTTGCCCTCTTGGGGTCCTCTGTGGCCGTCTTGGGTGCCTCGTTGTTCGTCTTGAGGCCCTGTTTAGGTCATTTGCAGACGCTATGCGTGACACCCTTGCCACCCCGGAGTTCATTATCGGCCGAACGTGGGCCGTATCGGTATTGCGCGAGCCTGAAAATCAGCATCGGGCCTCCCAAGCACCGCAACCTCCCTCACCTTCTTGATGCCAATATTGCGGTACGTCTGATCAATAAAATCGGGTCAAGGCCAAACAGAGACACGAACCCCTATCCAAGATTTCGGTATGGGCGGACGGGGAGATTTAGAGCTCAATTGCCACTGAGAAGCTTTTCCAATGTCTATTCGCCTACGCCTCCCAGTCGACTGGCGGATCGCTCATGGCAGATTGGGTTGATGGGTGTCTCTCCGCTGGGCTGCCCTCTCTTTCGTATTGTGATCGACCCCCTTCATGGGGGAGCCATTCCAGGTGGTGTTGCACTGCAGGGAGCAGCAGCA